GGAGAAAACAGAGCAGTGGTTTCCAGAAGCTGGAAGTAGGGAAGCAGTTGACTACAAAGGGCAGGGCTGGAGGCAACTTTCAAGGAGTGCTAGAACTTTCCTATGTTTTGATTTGTACTGGCAGTTACTTGACCCTGTAGACGTTGGCCATGAAGAGTAAATTTTATTGTATGTCAACTCAACCTCAGTAAAGTTGACGGAACAAAGAAGATGGCTACCCCAAATGTTCATTAATTACAGACAGAAAATAATTTTACAGTGGAGAAACCCAGCAGATACTACCCTAACCAAGTGATCCAAGTTGCCATCAGCTGCAGTAAGACATATCATGTGCCCCCAATATGTTATGATGAGAAGGGAATTTTTTTTTTAAGATTTTATTTATTTATTTGAGAGAAAGAGAGTGAGAGACAGAGAGCACGAGAGGGAAGAGGGCCAGAGGGAGAAGCAGACCCCCCGCTGAGCAGGGAGCCCGATGTGGGACTCGATCCCAGGACTCCAGGACCATGACCTGAGCCGAAGGCAGTCGCTTAACCAACTGAGCCACCCAGGCGCCCCTGAGAAGGGAATTTCAATTCTGTGGTATCCCCCCCCCAAAAAAAACCCTCTATAAACTCTATCCAGTCACAATAGAACACCAGATAAACAAATGGAGGGGCAGGCAACAACATAAATGACCAGGATTCTTCAAAAATTTTGAGGTCGTAGGGCGCCTGGGTGGCTCAGTTGGTTAAGCAACTGCCTTCGGCTCAGGTCATGATCCTGGAGTCCCGGGATCGAGTCCCACATCGGGCTCCCTGCTCAGCAGGGAGTCTGCTTCTCCCTCTGACCCTCTTCCCTCTCGTGCTCTCTGTCTCTCATTCTCTCTCTCAAATAAATAAATAAAATCTTTAAAAAAAATTAAAAAAAAAATTGAGGTCGTGGGATGCTTGCGTGTCTCAGTTAAATGGCTGCCTTCTGCTAGGGGGTCATGATCCTGGGGTCCTGGGATCGAGCCCCATGATGGGCTCCCTGCTCAGCGGGGAGTCTGCTTCTCCCTTCCCTCTGCTTCTCCCTGCAAATCGCATGCACACGCTCTCTCTCTCAAATAAAATCTTTATTTTTTAAAATATTTCATTTATTTATTTGACAGAGAGAGAGACAGTGAGAGAAGGAACACAAGCAGGGGAGAGGGAGAGGGAGAAGCAGGCTTCCCGCTGAGCAGGGAGCCCAATGCGGGGCTCGATCCCAGGACCCTGGGGTCACAACCCGAGCGGAAGGCAGACACTTAACGACTGAGCCACCCAGGCGCCCCTCAAATAAATAAAATCTTAAAAAAAATAAAGTAACAAACGAAGATGTTATTATAAGGTGGGAATGAAGGGAATGATACGGAGGAATGGAAGAATCTGTTTATTTCCTATTGCTGCTGTAACAAATTACGGCAAATTTAGTGGCTTAAAACCATGCATATTTATTCTCATTCTGTTCTGGAGGCCAGTGGTCTACCGCAGAGCTGTGTTCCTTCTGGAGGGAGGCTCCAGGAGAGAATTCGTTTCCTTGCTTGCCTTTTCCAGCTTGGGGAAGCAGAGGGTACACTGATGAGGGACATGCCGCAGGGTCGCAGGCAGGGCTGGGATGTAGGGTCCAGCCCCCCCCATGCCCCCCCTGCCCCCCACCCCGCAGGGAGGCACAGAGTAGATGAGAGAAGGATTTACCAGGGTTAGAGTTTGACTACCACAGTGCCCTGGAGGGGGTCATAGTCAAGGGAGTTTTAAGATATGGGAAAGTGGGGCACCTGGGCGGCTCAATCGGTTGAGCGTCTGCCTTCGGCTTGGGTCATGATCTCAGGGTTCTGGGATCGAGTCCCGCATCGGGCTCCCTGCTCAGTGGGGAGTCTGCTTCTCCCTCTCCTTCTGCCCCTCCCGCCTGCTCATGCTCTCTCTCTCGCTCTCTCTCAAATAAATAAACATTTTTAAAAAATCTAAAAAAGATACAGGAAAGTGAGGAATTTTTTAAAAGATATTATTTATTTATTTGAGAGAGATAGAGCATGAGCAGGGTGGAGGGGCAGAGGGAGAGGGAGAAGCAGGCTCCCAGCTGAGCAGGGAGACTCGATCCCAGGACCCTGGAATCATGACCTGAGTCGAAGGCAGATGCTTAACCGACTGAGCCACCCAGGTGCCCCAAAGGGAGGTATTTTATTGGTGTCCCATGGAATAATGGCAGCAGGGGAAAGAGGGAAGGGAGGGCAAGGTGGGGGGAGCCAGAGGTAATGAAAAGGTAACAGGATCAGTGCATTGTTGGTGGGCAGGCTTGAAAGTTTTTCAATGCAGTTGATGGGGAAAAGGAGCATGGTATGATAAAGACAAAGTTCGGAGGGAATGTCATTACTGGTAAATGACAAGGACAAAGGTATGACCATGAAAGCAGGTGGTACAATTGAGTGACAGATAAGGGGTGCAGAGCTTCTTTGGGGGTTAACAAAAATGTCCTCAAGTTGTGATGGATGCACAACTCTTACGAATACATGAAAAGCCCGCTGTGTCATACAGGTTAAATGGTTGAATTGTACGGTATGTGAATTGTAGCTTCATAAAACGTTCAAAAAAAGAAAGAAAGAAAGAAAGTAGATGGCTGGGGTAGGGCAGCGAGCAAGATCGATGGAAATGATGGGCTCGGGAGTACCAAGAGGCCCTGTTTGGGTTATCTATTGCCACAGTGTTTGTAACAAACCACCCAAAGTCTGCATGGCTGAAAACAACAAAGATAACTTATTTCGGTTCCTCGTCTGCAATCTGGGCAGGGATTGGAGGGGACTCAGGGGAGGGCTTATCTCTGCTCCAGGAGCATCAGCAGGATGCTCCGGATGGGGCAGGAGGATGTGCTCCTTCAGATGGTCACTCACAAGGTTGATGCTAGTGAACAGCTGTGAGTTTCGCCAGGGCCGAGGGCCAGTAACCTAGGGTCCTCTCCCCAGGAACCTCACCATCTGGACTGTGCAAGTGTCTCAAGGAAAAGAGTGGGGCCAAAAGTTGCCTTTCGTGACCCAACCTCGCAAATCATATGGTGTTCCTTCCAAGGTGGTCAGTTAGTTGGGGGAGTCACCAAAACCTGGGGACATGGTCTCCATGAGATAGGGAGTGGCAAGATTCAGGATTACCACGTAGGACAAGAAATGGGTTCCTTTTTGGAAAAGACAATCCAGTTACAAGTCAGGTTTTAGTAGGATCATCCATGGGGATAATGAAATCACTAAGGATTAGGACAGTAGCTTTAGAGTGAGGGATAGGGAGCCAGGATCTAAAATCTTCCATGAAAGAGCAGGAGTGGCCAGGGAGAAAGGGATAAGCTCAGTATGGGAGCATGGGAAGTGTTCATGGATAGCTTGAGCTTCAAAGGAGCTGAGGGAGGGGGCGCCTGGCTGGCTCGGTAGAGCACGCAACTCTTGACCTCTGGGTTGTGAGTTCAAGCCCCACATTGGGCGTAGAGCTTAAAAAAAAAAAAAAAGTCAGAGGAGCTGAGGGAGGAAGAATGGATGGTCTGGAAACAGCAAGGAGAAAAAAAAAAAAGAAAGAAAAAAACGGAAAGAAGGCGCACCCATTGCAGGTAGGAGGGTGTAAGTCGGCGGCAGGAAGACAGGGACCAGTTCACACAGAGTTCAGAGACCCACAAAGATAGGGGTCTCTCTGTGGGCTCTGAAAATGACATAAACATAGACACACACAAAGGGAGGATAGAGACCCGGAGAGAGGGACCCAGAAATCCAGAGGGATGGTGACAGAGCTTCCCAGAAATTGCAGACAGAAGAGAAAGGGTGCCAGCATTCGCAGGGAGTCATAACCTTCGTGTTTCTCTGCACTTGCCCAGCAGAGGGCGCTCGGGACCCCACTCCCCTGTGTCCCGGTAACCAATCCCCACCACTTCCCCCCAAGCCCATCAGATGGGGCTATTTTTACGCGGGTGTCATAGGACACCGGTGGCTGGAAGGCCATCGTCTGTCTGTCCTTTAGTCCCTTCGAGTGACCCTGCGTCATCTCCCCAGCCCACCCTCCACCTGTTCCTGGCAGGCCCGGCCTCCTTCTGCTCTACCCAGGGCTACAGCTCAGGCTTCACTGGATCTCCGAATGTCTGACCTAGAATACAGGTGGAGACCTTGGCGAGGAACGGGGTGTGGGGCGCACATGATCATGGCTTGCAGCTGCTGGAGCATCTCCAGGACGGGGCAACCACCAGGGCAGTGGCAGAGGCGACCTACAGTTGTGGTTAGAAAGAGAGTCAGAGATATGACTCCAGAGACCCTGAGTCCTCCGGAGGCCCTGAGACAGAAACTCGCAATACTTCAGGAATACAGGGAAAGAGACCCAAGGGGAGCCCCAGGGAAACCCAGGGACAGAGACACAGAGGGCTAAGAGATAATGAGAAGAGATCCCGGCAGAGGGGAGAGACAGAGACCAAGGGAGACAGAGATAAATGGAGACACGCCCCTAAGAAACAAGAGTCAAAGACGGAGATCCAGAGAGACCAAGACACAGACAACTGACAGAGACCTCCAAATACAGAGTCCTCTAGAATGGCAAAACTCGGGGGATAACTGACCCATAGAGATACTCAAAGATACATCCCTTGACAGAGACTCGAAGACATAGCCAGCCGTAGAGACATACAAGATAACGAGAAAGACGTGGAAGTTTGTGACTCCAACAGAGGGGCTCAGATATTCGTAAAAAAGAGACGAGAGAGACACACACACGGAAACCCGGAGAGACGCGGCACAGAGGGAAAGGGGACCCGAGAGCCGGATGGGCGCGGGGAACGGCGGCTGGGGGGAAGGGGCGGGCACCCCGGCAGAGGGCGCGCGGCCGCCC